TACACATCAAGATGTTGACATTCATGTCTTATCGAGAGATCTGGCTGTAAGCGTCCTTTAATTGAAAAACTTGAAGATTAATTAAATTTCTTAACAATCACTCATTAACATTAATGATAAATTAAAAGGCATATCAAGATCTTCTTGATTCATATGGAATAAAAGATTATCGGTTCAGTCGTGATATTCCGTTGTCAAAACCTGAGCTTATTGGACGTATTTTTATACGAGTAATTTGGGCATCAGTTCTTGCTACGATCTCTTCAGTAGGAATAATACTTTGGCTACCAATATTTACATGCGTAAAGTTAGTAAATTTTTTAAAAATCTTTTGAAGCTGAGGATGGGTTCTATTTTAATATAAATTTTTTAGATATAGTGTCAGAATTATTAAAAGAGGTTTTATAAAGTTTATAAATTTAAGATAAATTTAAGTAGAAACCCAATTCTCAGCTTCAAATAATATCGGCTGCGGATTACATTGATTTTTTGTTATTCATAATGTAAACTAACTTTATGTTAATTTTGCACTATTAGGTATAAAGAATATCAGATTCGTAAATTGCCCAAGGAAGATAATTATGATGAAATAACCCAATATAAATTGCTTATTTCTACAATGCTGCTTATCCCAATTTATATAACAGCAGTGTTTTTGACATTGCCATTTGCATTTATTACTTTGTGGCTAATTCCTCTATTAATGTGGTTAACAATTCGTTGGACAGAAGACTTATTTCAAGCTATGAGATCTTGTCTCTCTCTCACAAAACTTCTTTTACTTCCCAAAGGAGAATATGATCATATCAAAAGTATACGCGAAAATATTAAAGAAAGAGTACAAATTTTGGCGGTGAATGAACTTGGTCTTCCGGAGAATCCGGAAATATTGGTGAGCAAATCGAAGCCGAGAGGATTGGGTTATTTTTCGATCAAAAAAAGAAGAAAGAAAGATTACAATGAAGTTTTAAGGCTTTGGGATGTGTCAGCATATGATTAACATAATTACAAATAATTCTGTTGTTATGCAAGCGATGATAAATAGAAAATTAAGCTTGTTGAAATAAAACGAAGAATCATATTTATCAAAATTTTGGGTTTTATTAAAGCCTATTTTGTTAGTTAACCATGCAAACGCAGATACTGTACTAAAGCGGTCACGAACTTTATTGATCTCTAATATAGTGATAATACTTATTCTAATTAAAGAATCTAATTAAAGATACTGGAAGACTGTAATAATGTAAAATTTATTTATATAAACTAAACCAATCATACTATCCTCAAAATTATTATGCCAATAAATCATTCTTGCAATAGCTAATTTGATGAACGATTTCAATCTAAAAATATGCAATCTTAATTCACACTAATGCTCCAAATTCATAATAAACTGAAACTTTTTACTGAATCGAAACTTTTTTGGTTTTGGTAGGCTCTTGCTTAGGAATGGTGATCTTCAAAACTCCATCATGAAACTTAACAGTGATATTATCTGGATTAACATTTTCGGATAAAACGACAGATCGACGAAAATATCCATAACGACGTTCTTCAATATGGGCTCTTCCTTTTTCTAACTTTTTATTCTGTTTTATTTCACCAGAAATATTGAGCACACGATCACCGTCTCTGAGATCGAGACAAATTTCTTCTTTTTTGACGCCCTATTTATTAGGATTGAAAAATATGTTAATAATTTGTAAAGATCTCAAGTCAATATCAAAGATCTAATATTAATTAGACTTACAGGTAACTCGATATAAACTAGATATTCCTTATCATTTTCATGGAAATCCAGCTTTGGATTAAAGCAAGTAATTTTTCTGTCTTTATAATAGCTTTCTTCTTTATTTTCATCTCCGTACAACCCAATTCTTTTCAAGAAATCATCAAACGCATTTTTAAGTTTGTGCTCAAAATTATAAAATTCTTCACTATAACGTGTCATTTTTCTGTGCAGATACAATGAAAATCAGTATGTAAAGGTTGATTTGGACGAATATAAAATTTTTATCGTCTTTTTTTTTTGATGACATATTTTGTCCGTATATTCTTCTCATCATATATCATATGTACATGTACATTTGCATGAACTTATGACAATATTTACGTAAATATGATATAAAACACCTGAGATTTTTGTCGGAGTTTTTTTTTGTTTAAAATTATAGAACTCAAGTAATTTAATTTATTCAAATAGAAATCTAGCTTTTTCATATTGTATTATAAAATTTTTGAGGGGTAAAATCTAGGGTCAGAAGTCAGAGATAGAATTGAATTATGCGGCTAACATTCCATAACTCACAAATGTCTCTTATACTTTATGTATCCCTTAATCAACTTATATTTAGGAATGGGCACGACTCAAGCTTTGAGTGAGTCGAGGAAGTTCCTAGGAATTCTTAATAAGATCAAGCCCTGGGTCGATTTGATTCGCTGAATGAACATACAGATTATCCAATTCCAAGTACAAACTTAAAACCCTTAAAATCAGTTAATAGACGTGGTAAAAACGTGAAATAAGTGTACATTATTGGATAGTTAATATGACCATGTGAAGTTTTTTCTGTGATATTTTGCAAAACTGATTACGT